ACGGCGGCGGAGCGCTGCCACGCCGCGGCGAAACCGCAACGTCACAATATATATATATATATATATATACATATATATATAGAAATTACATATATAATAGCTCAATTATAACTTGCCTTCTAAATTATACTTTTTTAATTAGCGCGGACCACACACACACACACACACACACACACGCACACACGCACACACGCACACACTGTTATGCCATAACTTTTTTTTCTTTTCTTTATTGTATTTCATGGAATATTGTATTGTTTAATAAAGGACACGAATATCTTCGTGGTCGATTACATAAATCTGTTTTTTTCATTTTTACAGATACATTTTTTAGTTTTTAACATCTCAGTTGTGTATATTCACTTTTTTAAAAGTCTATTATACTATTGCATAAAAAAATGTTTTATACTAATTATTGCATTATTTCTTATTATTAGAAAACTCTTACAATAAACACGGAAACATGCATGTACGGAACATTGATGTGACGAAGTTACCAAAATTGGTTTTACGTAAAATTAATCGACAGCTGGAGACAAATAGACGGCAAGCATTACAAAAGCTGAAGACTTGAAACTCAAATACGAGGTAATCTTATCACCATTTAGTAGTACACAGTACTGCTGTAAATTGTAAAATTAAAGTTATTTCTTTTCGCACAGAGACATATAAGCAATATTAAAAATTTTATTTCCGTTTTCTCTTCACAGATAAAGCGATATATGAGGTGCCAGGTGACGATTATAGATATTGGTATTCGGATGACAGTAATGCCTGTGAAGAACTTCCATTCCACATTGTAAATTGGGATCTTCAAAACAGTCAGAATGTATCAACAGAGAAGTCTACCGAAGATATTTGCACGCTGTGTACTACAAATGCGCGAACACATATTTTTGTACCCTGTGGTCATCTCGCCTGTTGCATTGAATGTATCGAACGTTTGGAACATAAGTGATGTCCGATATGCAATACTACTTATGAAACTTGTCTTATAGTTAGAAAACCGTAGTTTTTCTTAAATCACTTTCTTCATTATTACTAGTACATAGTTCTTGTAAAGAGAAAGTCGAATATCCGAAAACGTCAAGTATTTTTCAATCTCACAAATTCAGTCTGTATTTATAATTAAATTTAGTCTTTGTACATATAAATAAAAACTAATTTCCTAAATATTAGTGGTATTACTTTTTGAAAAAGGCCAAAGTTTTTATATTTTTGATTCAATATATATTAAAGTGTAGAATCAGTTTATACAACAGAAGATATAAGTTTCCAAATTTTTTATACGTATCTTCAATTTTTTGAGACATGCAGATAGGAAACTTGTAAAATACATGGCCCTTCTTCTTCTGCAATAACTTGAAAAAAATTATACTCTTAAATAGTGCGAAGCAGGTCAAACACAGAAGCTTACTTATGCCATAACTTTTCTTTTTCTTCTCTTTAATATATTTTATAGAATATTAAAATTGTTTAATAAAGAACACACGCAAATACCTTTGTGTGGTCGACTACATAATTTTATTTTTTTATTTTTATAGATATTTCCATTTTTTAATTTTTTTACAACTTAATTTTCAAATTCCACTTTTCTTTCAAGTTCATTATGCTATTGCACTAGACAAAATTTTGTATACTAATTGTTGCATTATTTCTTACTTATAGAAAACTCTTACAATGAACACGGAAACATACCTGAGCGGAGTATTGATATGACGAAGTTTCCAAAATTGGTTTTACCTAGAATTGATCAACAGCTGCAGACAAATGGACGGCAAGCATTACAAAAGCTGGATAATTCAAACTGTCAAGTTTAATAAAAACCCTCTTGTATTTTTGTACTCCGTGGTCATTTTGCTGTTGCGTTTAATGCATCGAACGTTTGGAACGTTATCGATGTCCGGTATGCGATATTATATTTGTGAAAAGTATCTTAGAGTTAGAAAACCCGTAAGAAGCTGTCTGCTTCTGAAATATCTTAGCATAAGAAAGCATTTTTTATATTGGTATTGTTTTTATTGTGACATTCATATTTTTGCAATTATACTTATATATTTCAGTTTCGTCTTTATTATAAGCAAGGTTATGTACTATGGCGGTGTCCACATGAGTTTAAACTAATTTTTTTTATATGTAATTGTCCTTATCAAATAGTCTACAAAGAGACGAGAACTAACGACGTTATAAATGTAAATTCGTTGTCAGTGCGACAGAAATGCAGATCTTTTGTTTAAAATTATTTTTATTTTCCTGTAAGTTAGTTCAGAGCGGAAGACATTTTTTTCATCTTTTTCTATTTTATTTTTATAACGATTAAGTACCTTTCAAAATGTAAATGAAGGTTCTAGTTCCTGAAGTTGTTTATGCGTAATATATGCAGCTCATTGTAATTAAATACATAGATTTTACCTTTTGTGCAAGAGATACATGACCAAAGATAATTTGATAGTCTTCCTATGTATAGATACATAAGTATATGTATAAATGTATAATGCGCTGCCATGTGATATTATTTTTCTAACGTTTCGC